GGGCGGGGCCGGCCCACCGAGGGCCGCAGGCCAATGAGCGCGCGGCTCCCGGCGCGCGGGGCGGGGACTGCGTGACGGCGGCCCACGAGGGCCTTGTTACCTCAGCGGGGGGCGGGGCCTCCTACACTTCCCGGGGTACTCGGTAGCACCAAGCACTAAATAAATCTGCCAGTTCATAATAATAATAATAATAATAATAATAAAAAAAAACAATTTAATATAGTACAGTAAACCAATATTTGACACAGTATAAATAATCGGCATGGATAAATCCAAATAAATAATGTATAGTTAAAAAAAATCCCCGTTTAAAAGCAAAATACCACCTCTAAAGAAATGGAGCTTGTTTTCACTCTACCTGATGCTTAAAGACCCAGATTATTATCAAATCAGTAGTACCATGCAGCTTTGCTTGAAAAAAAAGGCATTAGACAAGTTTGGGCTTTAATGTAGACTACAGAAGCCAAAGGCAATTTGTTAAGTGCAGAACAATGAAACACTAAGGAGAGTTTATCACCAATGTCAGCATCACAGCTCAGCTACTGGCCACAAGAGAATCGACTTTTTGGCTAGCAGGTCTTTCAACGAATACTGCTTTCAAGCCAAGTATTTTTCACCTCCTAAGCAAAATGTTTTAAATGCATAACAAATAATGTCACACTTCATATCAGCCCAGTATTTACCTGCGAGATCTCACAGCAGCGAGGTAGATAAGCATCATCCCCCATTTTATAGGCTGGGGGAAAACAAACCAAAAAGCAGAGATTAAGTTCCCTGCTGAAGCTGCACAAATATGACGCTGTCAGCACTGGAATGAAAATGGAAGATAACTGGAGTACCAGCCCCATACTCGTACCGTTTCGGTTCATTTTGGATATCTAACATTGCCCTACAGTTGATGGCCTCCTTGCAAGGCCCCAGTTAAAAGCCCAAGAAAAGTTTATTCATGCCGGTCATGAACAAAGCGGTGCTACAGCTCAGATAGGCAGACCTGGATACAGAAACACCAAGTGCTACAGGCAATCGGTCACTGACAGCGCTCGGAACAGGGGATGAGACATGGCAATCCGCAGTCTCTCATCAAGTGGATCCTGTGGGAATGAGCGGGCGCTGACCGGCGCCTGCAGCCCCGCTGCCCAGTCCCGCTCCAGGAACCGGAGCTTCCTTGGAGTGGGCTGCTCTGCCTGAAGCACTTCAGGAGCTTGGGAGCTGCTCCCACGTGGAGACGCTAGTCGACGGGCTTGACTTTGGCGACGAACAGGGCCGCGGCTTTCCTCAGGAACTCCTCCCTGCTCATGGAGGCGCTCAGCTTGCGCTCCCGCAGCGCGCCCGCTGCCCAGTCCCGCTCCAGGAACCGGAGCTTCCTTGGAGTGGGCTGCTCTGCCTGAAGCACTTCAGGAGCTTGGGAGCTGCTCCCACGTGGAGACGCTAGTCGACGGGCTTGACTTTGGCGACGAACAGGGCCGCGGCTTTCCTCAGGAACTCCTCCCTGCTCATGGAGGCGCTCAGCTTGCGCTCCCGCAGCGCGCGGTCCATGGCCAGGGCCAGCCC